CTCTTTACCAAGTTGTATGATAAGCATGATGGTTTCAATTTCCCTATTGTAAGTTTTCCATTTCTGGAGAGCAGAATCCCTGCCTCTCCGTTAGTATAATTGCTGGTTGAGTTGGGAGTCTGGGAAAATGACATTACTGACTAAGGTTGACCAAACTTTGCTTTTTACGTATGTTGCAGATGAAGCAGAACACTCCTACTCGTCTGGAAACCTGATCTTATTCTTCTTGTAATTTTTTTCAGAGTTTCCGTGTAAAACTTTCTTATTTTGATATTTTGACTTAGTGCTAGTGAATCAGATTTTGATTCTGTTGACCTAAGATATATTCTGTTTTTGTTCTTGTGTGTTATCAATTTCCAAGACCATATTCGGTATGGAATAAGAGCTAGCGTTTCTGATGATTTAAGACGTGTTTTGACAGCATCAAACGTGAAGATTTACAATTGAGATAAATGGATGGATATATGAAGCGAGTTCATACCTCTATACCGTAACATGACGATAGTGATAAATGATTTTGGTGTTGTTGAGATAAATATATTGCATAACCACATTGATTTGTACAGCAAATGAACTATCATGCAGATTCATGGAAATATAAATTCTGTGGAGTACCGCTGTATCATATGCCATACACATAAATTCCAAGGCCAATCGACAATTTAAGTTTTTCAGGGTTGAAACACGCCAGAATAGGCGGCAGACGAATCTTAACAATAAAGTATGCAAAAAATAATACAGTTAAATATTCATGAAACCGATGCTGTAAACAATGGAGATCTTCCTTGTATTTTTTTGTTTTGTTTTTGTTTTTTTTATAATTGGATCCAAGTAGCAAACTTTCTTGAACGAGAACGGACCACGAGTTTTTGCAAATAACGTACGGGTATTCATCTACCATGGTCCTCTGTTCATTGGTATATCAATAAAAAAATATATATTAGTTGTTGCTATGTTGACATGAAAGGAAATAAGAATCACATTTCATGACCTACGAGACAAAAAAGGCGATTTGTTTTAGCGATGCTGATGTTGCTCAATTTGAATTTCACGTAAGTAAGGTGACTCATTGGAAAGGACGGCTGCTACGTTATAAATTAATATGACAACATCGGTATTTCGGTAAAAAGACAATTATATAGCAATGTGACGAAGAAAGTTTTAGTCATCGCAGAAATGACTTATTTTGGTGGACTTTTATATATAGCGAGTCATTATCGTCCTTACAGTAAATATTAAACAGTACAATGTCTGACCGCAAAGATTTCTTTAATAAACAAATATAAGCATCACTGACATGTATAAGGACCGATGGACATCTAGTGGTTTGGATTACAGTATTGCTTGAATTCAGATTGAAGTCAGATTGAATTCCATATCATTTTAATTAAATTCATTCGACTAATATACTGCAATATATTTTTGTTGCAGAGTAAATGAAGGTTTGATAGCAATTAAAGATGTATGTCTTTTTACGTTATCCCGTGTGTAACACTGCTATATCAGCCGAGTATCAGTTATCATACTACCTTAATTCCGACTTCAAACACCGGTGTGAGAGACTACTTGTAAGACTTCTGAATGCTGTAACATTGTCATTAGGTTGACTTTCATTAACAGAAAACCACACAGACGGCCTAAAGGTGGATAAAGGCTGTGGTAAATGTGTCCGATAATGTGTATTGATATCGAAAGATATGTAAAATAACTCCTGATTAATTATTTTTATTGGTGATCATTTGTTGTTGTTCAGGGCAATTTCTGTTTCCGTTTAATACTGAGCAGGAAATATACTTTCATTTACATTTGTTTATAATGGGTTTTGATCAGTATGTGTTGTCTTCGTAACTTCGTAACAAACGCTCAACACAAGCACCAAAAATGAAGAAAGTGTAAGGAGTGACATTATTTAGCCTGAAGTCATGATAGTGTGACCATGACATTATTTAGCCTGAAGTCATGATAGTGTGACCATGACATTATTTAGCCTGAAGTCATGATAGTGTGACCATGACATTATTTAGCCTGAAGTCATGATAATGTGACCATATTTGATGTGATGATGTTTCCGTGAGATGGTGATGTACAGATTCATCTATCTTTCATTTTCGCAAGATTGTTTGAGAAAAATGTCAAATAATGTGAATATACTGAACCATGCCAATATTCAATTGACGTAAAACGTTTGCAGTCGCATCTCGTTATTAGTCCTATCTTTAAGATATAGAGTTAAAGAATAAGTGAACAGGTTTGCATCAGAATTAAATAAATTTATTCATTTTCGTATATGTGACCGTTTTAATGAACGCCGGGTACATGTATTATTTAATATGCGGAGTCATGACAAGGTGGAGTTTCCTCAGAATAGGACGTTTCAGTGAGCTAGCACTATGAAATAGTCACATGGAGAGTGTGCCATCCCTGAACACCGTTTTACTTGTTGTGGTATAAAAAGCGAGAAACAGCAGTAAATTACTTTTCTGATATGATTGTTTGATATACTTGACAACTGACTACAGCCAAATGAACTTTCAAAAGCAAATCTTGCGAAATGCGTTGAAAAAACAACATTTAAGAGAATACCTACATAAAATCCTGATATCAGTATTCCCCATTCGCCAGTTGTTCTGGATTTGATGATGTTATCCCGCGTGTCATCTATGTACAAAGCGGCTTGGGAATTGAGATAGTATTGTCTTCTCTTAAAACCTCAATACACAGTGTGTTAAAAGGGAAAACCATATGGCTACCTGTCACCAATATGTGAAAATAGGGATGATGTGTCCATTCTTCTCTGTGAAATAAATGCCTGATAATCAATTCCAGGAATATCAAATCGGGAAATGGATTCCGTCTGTGTAGCAAAGGCTTCTTCCCAGAAATTGTTTACACAGTCGGTTTTTATTCTAATCTTTGACTGTACTTTAACTGGAATAAACGAAATCGGTGGGATTAACACTGCAAACGTTTAATATGTGTAATTCTGGTTATAAGTACATTTGTATTGTGATTGTCTTACTTAGCGTTAAGAATGGATGAACGGAATCAAGTATGATTGAGAGCGAACAAGGGAATAACTGCTGGATATTTCAATTCAGTATCGATATTGGTGTATGTACTTTTGTGGCTCTGTTCCATGCGTTGTAGTTTGTAGAATGTGATAATATATCTTTTCATCTATTCTAATCCCCAGCATTTACTGCTCGTTATGCCGAAGATAAAACCCTAATGTTCGAGAATTTTGTTATTGGGAACAATAAATGGCATGAAGGAAATCTATATATCTTGCACTAAACATCCTCATCTTTTGCTTTTAGATAGAAGGTCTTAATATTGGATTCCGTGGGCAGTACATGAATCCCTCGTAACTAGGTTAATATTTGGGCCCAGAAAACAAAACAAATCACGACATATTTGTTGAAAATGTATTTGAAATATATAATGGCTTATGACCACTGCATCAACATCAAGAGAAATGTGATATTTATTTCGATTAGAGATGATTTGAAATTTGAGATCTCATGTATGATATTGAACAACAATTTAGTCGAAAATACATGCAGGTGCCAATTGGTAGCTTTGTAGGGCTCTGTTCTTTGACCGTTGTATTCCGATGTTGTTTCAACCGGTGCGCGATTTTCCCAGCTTCACTAAATGAGATAAACTTGCAAGGATAATTGACCAGGAGAGATGTTAGGGCACTTCTGTGTGCGTCATGACATTTGAAATCATGTACTTTTAGTTGTCCATAATTTGTCTGTCTTTAAATGAACTTAGTGTCAAATGGATTTTATAAAAGACACACTGTTGATAAGCATCTTTCAATATTAATTTCGAGTTAAATACAGTAAAAATGTAATATCGTGCTGCTGTTTCGTATTTCTAGGACTGACACTAGGTGTGGAAAATGCTAGAAAATCGATGCAAAAATTTAGATAGGGAGTTTCATTAGCTCGATAATTCTATCAATTTCACTTTAAAAAAATAGAGTTATTCCATAACAAAATCAAGTATATTTGTTTAATTCATATTGTGAGCTGTACCACGTGCATAGATAAGACAATCCGTGTTAAAAGTACGTAAAGTAATCTAAAATAAATTTGATATACATATATGAAATGAAACCTGTCAGGATACAAATTGGGAATCCGCGCCTTTGTTATTACAACATCAACAATAACAAACTCAAATAACACGCACACAATATCTTAGCTGAGATTTTTGTTATTTACTGAAACACACAGATAAATAGTTGCATTTTAAAGGGAATATGGGATTAACTATCCAGCCGACAGACAATACTAATGGATGTTTTTGTCAAAACTACAATTGAAACTTACAACTTAATATATTTCATACGTGTCTGTATATTGAACATTACAGGTGCAATCACTGGGATGGAGTTGTTGGTTCAGTCTCACTTTCGGTATGAAACTTTGTAATAGGAAGGATATTTCAAATCAAAAGCAGCTACTAAGTCTTTCACGGTTTTTTCTTCCCTTGGTGCCACTTCATGTATGAATCAATGCCATTGAGAAATTACACAAAGTCCAGCCGATCTTAAATATCTATACTTATTTTAAGTCCTTGACATTTTCTACAATCCAACGGATACTTCACAGTTGTTAAAGTTGGTGTTTGTCTGTCATTTCAAAATAATATATACAAGCATAACTGATATCTTATGAGATTTTTATTTACTGTAAAAATGTTGGCTTTGTGTTAAATCTCTTGTTATCTTTAATGACAGCAAATATGGTGAAATTAAAGCCCTGCGAATGTTACCAACTACTAAGTTATTCCTCAGTGGTAACACTATATATATTTATGTTTTCTTTTTTTCTTTTCCATTGTCTTTCATATGCAAACATTTTAGCGGACATGTGTCCTCATCTTAACTTAGTTATTATGATTTCAGGCGAAGACTGTCAACCGATGGTGAAGTATTTATTTCACGATAAAAGCGTTCCAAATTATTCCAGTGTTTTCCCTTTTTGCAGGCTACTCTACGGAATCCCACAGATTAGGAAAGAAAGGTTCATCTAAAGACAACGACACAGATGAAGACGACGAAGATGACGACGACGACGATGAAAGCACTGTAACGTCATGTTCTGTAGCCTCAAGCAGTGAATCTGGTGAGACAATTATATTCTAATCATCATCAATTAATGTGGTTATTGCTGAAGTGATAACAACAGCAACAAGACTGCTCTAGGGAAAGCGCACTTTAAGTTAAACAAATACGCTTTTGGAAAAGGGCGTTATAATCAGATATCATCGGAAGTGTTTACAGGTTTTAAAACGGGATGCCAGAGATTAAACAAATGACGCGCCTTTGTAACTAATCCATGTATTTTGAGCCTACGATAATCAATGGTACTCAAAATAATACGAATGTTTTAATATGCGATAACAAATTCATCATTATATGCTTCTAATAGGTTACAGTGGTATACATGAATCCATTCATATTTAATCCATTCGCAATTATACCAACAACGTACCTAGGAGTGACAAGTAAAAAAGTGAACATCATATGTAGAATTACAGGTTAGTTCATATCCGACTTATAGTTATTATTGAAGCTCCTGACGAAGACAGACATATTAGATACCAATGGAGCGAAATACAGAAACAATTATTCGATGCTTTGGGCAAATTAACCAAACTTTTGTCAAATAGAGTCTGATATTACATTGTCTGCAAAATACTTTAAAAAAATAACAAAATCATGCTTTAGAACATCCCCTGCCATTCTTTATCGTGATGCCAGCTAATGCTAAAACTTGTAAAATTCCATTACTTGTAGATATCGTTATCGACCGATGCTTCAATTTTCAAACTATCAGTAAATTAGAAACAAAATGTCATATCCGATTGAAAGAAAGTTTAGTTGGTCTTAGTGTAAGCTTTAATAATTTCATTTTCTTTAAATTGTCTTAATAGATTCAATGTTAATAAACTGGATGTAAAACAACATTACAAAGTTTAAAACAAACAACTTCACGTGTTTACCCGATGTTTGCATGTGTTAATATCAAGCACTGCTCTTACAGTGTTTAAATGAACGATGACTGCTTACATTCCTGAAATTTTCATAAACATGATTTACATATGAAGAGACATATAAAACATACACGTTTAAGAACATTTATTTAAAAAAAAACAAAACATAAAAAATAAATTCACTTTGGTTGCTCTTGCCTTTTGTTTATTTGTTTACATTGTTGTTGATACCCATGTAGCACTACCTTCTACCTACCACTGTAGAATGGATATTGAAATGAACAAGTCATTATTCAAAAGATGTGAATAAGATAACTTGCCTTTTACATTTTTATCCGTTGTTATATGTAAATTTAATATCCTTGTATATGTAAATATAAGGAGAGTTGCTCATTTACTGTACCTACATAGCTTTTAACAGCACATTAAGCAAAATCACACCAGACCAAGCCAAACTGGAAATTTATTTACCATATTCACAATTGGGTAATTTTAGATTTTACTTCGTGCGCAAACGCTCGCCAATAAATATTTAGTTACCAAAATGTAAAAAACAATTTGATGCCAGGACAGAACAAAATATTCGGTGAACAGTTTTATTGTGTTTGTTCTTCCAACAGTACAGTAAACGATGAGGTTCAACAGCATAATAATCAAGCTGATCTTCCGTCGTAGGATCCTACAATGATTTTTCACCTTAGATTCTTAAATAGTATATGTAAAGTTTGCTGCCTCAGCAGAAAACACCAACAACATGTTTAACAAATCGTAGGATATCATATTAGGGACAGCATTCGCCTTTCTATGACGTGATGGATTCTGTTTCGGAATCAGATGCCAGTTTCAGTCTGGTGATACGTAAGATGGACTCTCCCTGGACGACCATCATCGTCTTGATTTCTCCTATATCCCTTGTATGATACTTTCCGATGTTAGAATGATCTTTACTGCTACATTATCACGTTTTTGCGCTAGTTTTGGATATCATCAACAATGACAATATCGATGAGGTAAAGCGATATATCTCGACGTTTGGACGTTCTATGAATGAAACAAGTACGGGACAAACATACATAAAATAAATGGAATGCAATTATCGTCAAAACTGCAATGGGAAAGATGAACCTCATACGAGTTTCATAGAATCCAGATAATCACATTTCGGTTCTTCAATATTCACTTAGCACACAACACAGAAAAAAACTTCTGACTTAAATGGATTTGCCCTACATCAGTTCATATGCTGTTAATTGTTTTCCTTAACTCGCAGGAAAAATTCAAATTCAAATTACATAAAACTTGCTCGCGCTGTCTTTAGTGTTATCCATATATGTTTTGTTGACATACTAAAGGGAAATCTTTTGTATTTCTACATTTCCCATTTCATGGTTTATTATCATTTCTGGAATTGTATTGCGTGATCAGCACAAAAATTATTATCTGTTAAGTATTGCTTTCAGGTCTCGTGGCACATCAATGTTTTTATTAAAGACATTTCCTAATTCGTTCCGCGAGTAGAAGAATCCCCTGGGTGCCGACACAACATTTCTGTAGCTAATGAACTATTTTAACAAGTTTTATTATACGGCGTAAAAATAATTTTTTGCTGAAACTAAATATTTTGTTAAAAAATTTGAGGTACTTCCAGCGTTTTTATTAAATATTTATATTTTGTCTTTTCAAATGGATGTGTAACGATGCTTTGAATACATACACAAGATAAATGTTCAGATGACACATTAGTAAGTTAATATCTTTCCCATTTTTGTAACGTTTCTTTTTTATTTTACATCAGAAAACACTTCATGTGTAAACGGTATCTGACACGAAGTAAGATATCTTGATTTTCATATTAATTTATTTATTGATTTTTTAACAATATTTTTTGTTGATTCCCCGAGTACTCTATTTTAGTATGCACATGTCTACGAACTGTAGCAAACAGACTCTTTTATTTATTGAATTGGAGGATTTCGTGGGCACCACGTATCAACGACCTCAGATGGTCGGGTGGCGCAGTGGTAACGCGCTCGCTATTCACTTAGCCGTACGGGATTCGATTCCCGGAATGGATTTGAAAAGGTATGGGGTCACCTGCCCGACCATGTGGGTTTCCCCGAGTCCCCGGGCCAACAAGAGTGATTTATTTGATTTCGAAAAACTTGCTTCGCAATTGTGGTAAAATAAATAAAGTTTATCATAACGACCTCAAATATCAACATTTTTAACAATAGAATTTAGGTCCAGCAGATAAAACATAATTTTACTGAATATGTTATTAAATGTAACAGGATTTCTTGTGTTACAGATACAAGCGATGATGAGGGCGAAAAAGGAGATGAAAGCTATGACAGCAGTACAAGTGACAGTGATGCAGAGGAGATTGAAGAGGAAAGAGAGAGTCTTTTATAATATGATCCAATGTGTATGATTATGTAAATATTAAAATAGCAGTCATCAGCTTCCAGAATGGAAAGGAATATCATAGATACTGACTGAAAACTAATTGATACTTTTCTGAATTGACGCCATCGAATTACGTCACTGCTACTATTCTTTGATTTCCAGAGCTGAAACGATGGCTATTATCGTAACATGTATATGTGATGTATTTTGAAATAATAAAATGTATGTTAACCTACCTGTTACAATTTATATGACACCAATACATATGTTTTTTTTTTTTATTTTAAAAAGATATATTAAAAAATGTTAACAGGACACGGTCCTCGGCAACTACAAAACGATTTACAGGGATAGCAATTATTGCCATATAAAAGATAGGTCGTCAAAACCAAAATCTTCTTTTATATTACATATTAGATGTGAAGTTTGCTTGTTGATTAGAATTTTCAATACCGCGACTTAAGCACAAAATCCATTGCGAAAATTTACTAGAACATTTTTCAGAACTATAGAAGCAGGAGCAGGCCGGCGTGGTTTGTACACAATGTTTGATACGGTCTCTGTCACTCAGCTGACGTAGCATGTGTCTTTGGCTCAGTTGGTGGAGCCGACTGATTATTACGCCGGGTTATTTTCCATGTTCTTCCACACTCCTAAGATTGTACAAAAGATGCTTCCGTGAAAAGCACATTAAACCAAATCAAGAATAAGACACAGAATATAGGATGATTATAAAATAATTCCAAGTACATGTGATTATGTTGAATCAGGCCATTATTTAGAAAAATTAAAGCGTTGAATACTGTTTATTGTTTGAATTAAGTCCACCAGTAGATTTCGCAACTGGATTTCAAGTGTCTGTGAAAGAGTGTTTTTGAAATGTTTTACTGTGAATGGTTATTTTCACGAGCGTCGGACATATAATTTTGATTCAACCAACTGACATATTTTTTTTCACTCAGGAATTCGTTAGGTACGCAAGGACTTGGTAGTCCGCTTTAACTATAGTGTACCTAGTTTGGATAACATTTCAGTGTGATGACACTGTAATACATCCGTCAGTGACCCAACATTCATCGATATGGACATACTATTACCCTTTAGCTGTTGCGAGGACGAATTATCCCAAAGAAACAAAGCCTACAAAAAGTGCGTTATATGTACAATTAAGATTGCCTATCGTTCCAGCCAATAACTTTGCCTAAACTGCATGCCACGTTTGAATTCATTCAAATAGTTCTTTAAACGTGCAGGGTATACCCGTGAACTTGACGTTCTTCTGAAATGATCTGGCATAAAAATAAATCTAAATTTGTTGAATTATAGGGCTAAAGCACTTCCTCATTAAAATTTAAAAATTTTTTTTGATCACTTTGGAAATTCCTCTATCGACTCCTAGGTTTCAACAGTGAGGTTTTTAGCATCAATGACGAGTCCTAAAAGGACAAACAGTTGTATGATGCAGTTTAATTCGTTGCTTGGCACTATCACTGTTGTATCTCATTCTATAATGATAAAAAGGTGCTACTCACTGGTGTGCTTTTGTACAATCGTTGAAACATAATCTAGATTACTTGACAAAATAGTTGTTATCGTTGTAAAATCCATTGATGTACGAAAAACAGACGACGTGAATATAGCAAAAGTAATTCAAATCCTTTTGATGATAAAGCCAATGACTTATTCCTTGTTCTTCACATTTCCATGAAAAGTCATTCACGATGCTCTTTTGTTGATTACATTCAAGGAGACGCTGTGATCCAATTGCATGTATATGTTTAACTGGAATGAAACTAGACAAATGGAACAGAGGTTTTGACATTTCTTATTTCGATCTGCTGCTGTCGATTATAGAATTGACAAAAGCGGCAATTTAACAAACTGATGTGAAATCGATATTCATAAAATATCACATGCTCTCCGGATTTTTTTCATTCACACTTTTTAAGAGTCATTTCATAGTTGACTTTACATGCAGGCATCGAACCTGGCGGTGAAGCAAACTGTGCCATCTGTGTTGCTGATAAAATATTTTCTTTTTACTTTTTTTTTTAATACGATGTGTACATGCTTTTCAGCGACAGAGCACTTAAAGTTAAGATCGGCGAAACAAAAACAAAAATTTATCTTCAACTGTATGTAGGATTTTAAGAATGTCGTCATTCCAAAACTACTATTTATTTGAATTGGCGTTAATTGGATCTGCGTCATGTCAGAATTAGCGGTATGAATACCAAATAATAAAGTAGTCAACTTTACACAGATGGAGTGACTTTACCTCTAAGACTCCATATTAAACATCACAACTCTGATTTGAAAACGTTTCGAGACAAATGCTATTAAAACGAACAAGCAACACCCTTATTCACCATAATTAAACTTTATGCTGATTCGTATGCAACCAGTGAAACGATGTTGTTTCCCAACTGCACACTTAACATTTTATATTACACCTGATAGAAATTAAGAAGGAATATTGCCAATTGCTACCAACCGCGCATGAAATATGCACAGGTAATAAAGTTATCTCGAATCATTAACTACCATTGTTGATCAGTTCTTATGTTACATAACATTGATGTTTGATATAAAAAAAACTTATTGTAATGTGACCCAGATTTCCGTACCTTTTACGCCTCCTCGTTAATGTTTTAAATAATTATTTATTCCACGGTTTATCCCTTTTTCCTAGAAATAGACTTGAGTTTGTATGTTTAATGCTGTCACCGGGCCAAATATGAGCGACATAAAAAACAACAGAAACCCTATATCAACTAAATCAGGTTTTCTTTCTGCGAAAATTCAATACATACCTTCTCGAGAAATTCACTGCTCAACAGTTTTAAAGAGAATCCTTACATATATCAAAATGAACAGGTGAACGATGGTCAGTGCTTACAAGAGAATTAGGCAGAATAGAACCAAGAGCTCCTTAAGCGTAGTTCCATAATGATAACGTACCTCTTAAACTCGTCAGTGATGCCGTAGTAGTTTTCAAAGTACGCGAAATACACAAAAATTCGGATTGTAACTCATCGAAAATAACAATGATCAATACCACATTATCAAAAAACTTCATTTCACCCTCTCAGAAAGGCTCAGCTAATTTGCCGCTTGAGAAATTGGAAAATAATAAAAAAAAAAAAAAAAAATACTCGTACGCCGAAATCCGTATCGTTGTGCAGCATGCAGACAATATTAATTACGCAAAACCTTTAGAATTGCTACCAAGGCCTCGTCAAACATCAGCTTTAACACCAAAATTAGACTTGAAGATGTTGAATGGACAATGAATCGCGGTATTAGAAACTCGTCGATGGAAAGGGTGTGATATCAATTAATTTTTAACACAAAGTACGGACGCACAATTCTAATTCTGAATTGTTAAAATTCTAATACTGAATTGTTAAAATGTTAATACCGAATAGTTACGATTCTTATACTGAATAGTTACAGTTGTTATACTGTACAGTTACAATTCTAATAATGAAAGTTAAAATTCTTATACTGAATTGTTACAAATCTAATACTGAATTGTCAAAATGTTAATACTGAATAGTATATTGCATAGCTACGATTCTAATTCTGAATAGTTACAAATCTAATACTGAATTGTTACTATTCTAATACTGAATTGTTTTAGTCAACTTAAAGTTATGACTCAATGATAACAACCAATTGTCGCTTTAGCGCCTACACATCTGTTCAACTGTAAGTCATGGCATTGTACAGTCGAAATGGGAAAATAAACGGTTGAAGATGTCATTATTAATGCAATTCACAAATCTTACTAGGTATATAAAATCCCAAACATTGTATGGATAGCTTAATTACTCTGTGTTCACCTTTCACGATCTTAATCCACAAATAATTAAGTTGTATGGATCCCATTCTCGTAGCAGCTTTGGGCATATGAAAAAAGGTGTGATTGGTCCTTGATTGGACACATTGATAGTGTCATCACATTGAATTGACAAGACCTGGATACAACAACACCACATCCCAACCGATCACACCAAAGAGACAACTGGCTAAATTATTACGCAATCAATTTAATGTCAAGCTATCAGTAGAAAGCACAATGTATGATACAAGGACAGAACCCAGCTTGGCCGTCCTTCACACAGACGAACGCTCAACACAGAGTTATAACTGTGATTATGTCATAACAAACAATAGGAAGAAAATTCCATTTAGAAAATGGGAAATGGTGAATATCATGAATATAACCAGTTCAGTCGCCTTTATCGACAATGCAATTGGGACAACATATCTCGAATCGAGTGTCTTGTATGCAGTGCAAACACCCTCTAGGAGATAAGATATTTTCATTAAATCAGACATGGTAGAGCATGTGTTTAAACCCCTTAATGCGTCATGACTGGTTCTTCATAAACCAGGCGCTATATTGATGAAGCATTTATCTTATCGACGTTGTCATCAGGTCGTGTCACCCAGTTGCACTAACAGGTAGAGTATTAACACAGGCCGTTGTTACATGACATGTCGTTATTTACAATTCCGATCCAGACTAAATCGCACGGAAGCCATGATGATGGAACATCGTGTAAAAACACATTGATGAAGTGGAGTTTCCTCCGGTACGCCTAAGGTGAAACCAAAGCCTTTGCATGCAACAAACTCAATTTGTAGCAGACAGTTACAATACTTATATTCACCAAATAGAAACCATACAATCTTTAAGGAAATCTTTAAACTGTATTACGAATATTTTTGAATTGGTTTGTCGGTTAATACGTAGACACAAAAGTTTAATCTTGGAGGTATCGTACAATGTGATTTGAAAGTAAAAATAATACTGGTATGCCAACGGAATCATGATCTAATTCAATTCAATTTAACTAGCATAATTATTAAATAAGTGTAATTTGATGGGTGGCATAAACAACACAGAAGAGACGAACAAAGGCTTACAAATGTAGAAATGGTTTTTCAGACAAATAATACTAAGTCTAACTGGTTGCGAGCTTGTCTTTCTCAGTTCT